CCCCCCCCCCTGCCCCTCCGCCCCTTTGCACGGCGGGAAATGCCACCACACGACCGGCCACGCCCCTTTCTGGTGGAGGCCACTGGGCCGATGCTGGCTGCCTCGGCCCCGGCGTCCCTGATGCTGGGTGCCATCCGGCGCCAGGACATCTCGGATGGCGTCCCTCCGGGACAGGTACGTGCCCGCGTAGCCGGGACCCTTGGTTGCTTCCCCTTGCCCCGGAAGTTCGCCCTGACTGTGGATCCCCCTCTGTGTTCACGCCGCCGCCTTTGCTCGTGGCCCGGTCGCCGTACAGTGGGGCGATCCGCTATCTGTCGCCGAATTGCAGGCCCCCCGAGTAAGCCTCTCCGGGGAGGAGACCGCGGAGTTTGCGCGCCTTTGCGAGCAAATCGCCACCCTGCCGCCGGGCGACGATGGCAGCCCATACGATCCGGACGGCTGGGACCGGGCCGCGGTGGCCCGGGCGCTTGGCCGGCGCGATGGCCCCGCGGCGCCGGCAGGCTCCTCCCCCTCCCTGCCACCGGCCCCCGAAGCGCGCCGGCGTGCCCACCCCCACCACCAGCCCGCACCGGGGCGGGGGATCACCCTGCCCCCGCCGACGTCCGGGGCAGCCGCGGCCCCGGGCTCTCACCCCTACCATCAGCAGCAGCAGCAGCCGCCTCGGCGCCATTACCACCACCCGGATGCACATGGGCAGCGGCCGCCAGACCGGATGCGCTGAGAAGGCCCCAGTCCGCCAGTGGGTGGAGAAAAAAATGAAACACTAGAAACAACGACACACCAGGTGTGGCCGGCAGGGGTGGTGGTGGTGCCGACGACGAGGCAGGGCCCGGGGGGGGGAGGGGGGGCACAAGGCCAAGTGCACGAGGGCAGACCGGGGCACGGTTGCTGGGACAGGGGATCTGGGGCACGATCGGGCCGGGGAGATGTCAAGCCCAGGGCGGCGCGCTCGAGATGCCTGCGCCGCACGAAGCGTGCGCGCGATCGGGGCGCCACTGGCCAAGGGGGTGGGGGGGGAGGGGGCAGGGGGGCCTCAATCTCAGGGTGCGCCAGGGGGGGGGGGGGCGGCGGGGGGGGGGGGGGGGGGGGGGGGGGGGGGGAAGGAACACATGGCTGGCTGCATGGGCGCCCTGGTCGGCGGTCCGCCCGGTGAGAGCGGGCAGGCACGCGAGAGCCTGTCTCGTTCATGGGCGATCCCCCCGGGCCTGGGCCTCCCCGCGCGCCGGCCCTCCCTCGGCTTCGCGCCTCCCGCGCCCTGGGTGGCCTGGGCGTGCGCGCGCGCGCGCCATTCCCCCAGGGCGGGGGGGGGGGGGGGGGGGGGGGCGCTCGCGGGCGGCGCGGGCGGCGCGGTTCGTGGGACCGCGTTTGGCGGGACGATGAGGCCGGCACGTGGAGGAAATAGCGGCCCCGACAGGGACATCGGCCTTCCATTGGGGCTGTGGCGGGCCACATCGGCGCCGCGATGAAAATCCTGAACCCGTGATCCGGGGCATCTCCGGGCCCCATGCCCGCGCGAGGGCCAACAAGGGGCCTCCCCGGGTGCCGGCCGGCGCGCCGGGGGGGGGGGGGGGGGGGGGGGGGGGGGGGGGGGGGGGGGGGGGGGGGGGGGGGGGGGGGGGGGGGGCGGGGCCGGCGCGCCGGCCCGCCACCAGCGCAGGGGCCTTTTCACAGGGGGCCATGCCGCCGCCGGTGCTCCTACCCCGCGGGGCCCCTCTCGGGGGGGGGGGGCTCGGCCGGGCATGTCCCCGCATGTGGCTGCCAGCCCCCCGGTAAGAGAGCACGTATGTGCGTGCGTGCCGTGTGTGCGTGCGGGCGCGCGCGCGGCACACACGCAAGAGAGGCACGGGGAAATAGCGGGGGGATGGAGGGAGGGGGTGCTCCCAGGCCCCGCCCTCCCTGCCGGGAACGCGCGGGAAGCCGGCACGCGTGCGGCCCCTTTCGCGCGCGCAATCTGGCGCCCGGTGTTATTTTGTCCCGCGCATCTCCCCTGGCGGCACACGGCCCGCGGAAGCCGGGAGCCGCGGGCCCGGCCGGGGCGGAGGGCTGAGTAATCGAAAGTCAGCGCAGCACACCGGGCGCCCTCGGGTTTATATGTTGCAGCACTTTTTTATGGCCGCCATATTCCCAAGTTCCGGTCCCGCCTGTGGCCGGGCCACCGGCCGAGAGGGGGGGGGACCTGCCCGGGCTGCTGCAACACTCCCGCACAGGGGGGGGGGGGGGGGGGAGGGGGGGGGGGGGCACCGACGGCCGGCTATTCTCCCGCCCTCCTCCCCCGGTCGGTCCTGGCGGATGGGGCGGTCTGCCAGCCGTGGTGGCTGGCTTCGCACACGTTCCTTCCGGGGGGGGGGGGGGGGGCGCCGGCCGAGAGCCGCTCGAGCGGTGTTATTATTTCCCGCCGGCCCCCGGGGGGGGCTCTCTGCGCAAGCGGCGGCCCGCCCAAGTGCGTTCGTCCTGCCCCGCACCGCCCCCCCCCCCGGTGTCTGGTTCCTCTCCCGGAGACGGACTCGCCGGGGTCAGGGCTCCTGGGGGAGAGGGCGGGCAGGGGGCAGGGGCGGTGCGCGTTCGCATGCTTTGATGGCTGCCGCCGTCCTTCGTCCCCCCCTCCCCCCCCCCCCACCAGGGCCGGGGCCCGGCCCATCCCATTGTGAATGGGCGGGCTTTTGGCCGGCGCCCGGCGCGCGGTGCGCTTATTTTGCACGCCGCCCCGACGGGGGGGGGGGGGGAGGCGGGCGGCCTTCCCACTAGGGCGTCCACCGAGGGCGGCCGGAGCTCACGACGCGGATCCCCCCCCCCCGAGCGCGCCCGTCATATGGGCCGCACGCTGCACGGCGGCCGCCGGCGCGCCCTGTGTCAGGCGCGCGGGCGCATTTTCTGTGGCTGATTAAATCGGAGACGCCCCGGAGAGGAGGGTCCCGGGCCCGGGGGCCGGGCAAGGCCGTTACCCGCCTTCCGCGCCGGAGACCTTCGGGCGGTTCGCGCAGCAGCGCCCCCGCAACACATTCCCTGGCCGGGGGGGGGGGGGGGGGGCATGGCGGGAATTTCGCGGAACCGCGACCGTACCGGCGGCCTGCCGGTGCGCGCGCGCGCGCGCGGGTGGAAGGCGGGCGGGCAGGCGCGCTCGGGGTGGCCCTTCTTTTTTTTTTTGGCGCCCTTTGCGCGCCGACCCCCCTGCATGTGTCCGTCCCCTCGTCGCCCGGACTGGGGCGGTATGTGCACGCGTGCCGGCCGGTGCGCGCGAGCGGTGCACGGGTGTGCATGTGTGTCCCCGGCCGCGGGGGCGTGCACATTCGCGCGCAGTCATCCCGTCCCCCCTCCCCCCCCATGACTCGGTCGCCGCTCGGCGTGCGGGTGCCCAAACTCCGCGTGCAGCCGCTCGCCCGGGAGCATCGGGGTGTCGTCCGCGAGCGAGCGAGCGAGCGCGCGCGCGCGCACCCCCCCCCCGGCGGGCCGGAAAGTGCGCGCCCAAAGAGCCCCGCTAGGCGGGCCGCAACCTCTCGGGCGCGTGTTCCCCCTTTTGCCGGCGGCCGCGCCGCCTGGGGGCGGGCATTTTCCCGCCCAGCCGCCACTGGCCCCAAAATCCCCCCGGCCAATGGGCACCGGCAACGCCGTCACACGGCCGGGCCGCCCGTCCCCGGCCCCCGGCCCCCGACAACCGGGGGGGGGGGGGGGGGGGCGAGCGGGCGCGCTTGCGGGTGGATGGGTGCGCGCGCGCGCGCGCGCGAGAACGCGCGCCAAAGGGCGGGGATTTTTCGCGCGCGCGCGCACACTTCCCGCCCATCCGCGCCCACCCCGTCGCCCCCTTGTTTCCCCGCATCCGCCTCCTCGTCGGGGAGGGGGGACGGCAGGGCGGGCGCGGCGCCCAAGGCGCGGGGGCG